TCAAGGCAACTTAGGAGCGGCAACCGTGGCTTTGTGCTAGAGATCTCACCTTCCGTGTGGGAGACATGGGTTTGATTCCCAGCCGCCATGCATCTCATGCTCAGTCACCTCCCGCCTATCACTGGAGGCCTTGTGATGCTCAGATGCTGAACGGGCTTCGCTGGGGGTGCCGGACTAAGGAAAACTAGGCAGAAAGGCCAGCGAAAACCCTGCGGACCCTAACGGTCCTGTTCTGAGATGTATCCGTGGACAGTTTGCCTATGGAACTTGCTGAATGGTCTCTCACAGCTGGTGATGGAAACTCTGATGGCCCGTAGAAGGTGCTCACTGACGCCCCACCTCGGGTGCTCAGGGTATGTGCCATATCTGTCCTCGCCTAGACCCCCCCACGTACCTGTCTGCGAGCGATCACAGCCATGGTGCAGGACTGGCAGTGTGGCCAGGAGTCGGGCGCTGATTCGACAGCCACTGACACTCACAACAAAGGAGCACTGACGTTGTCCTAGGGGAGGGGTCCTCGACCTTGTCCATCAGACAGAGCCACGCTGCCCAGAAGGTGGAGAATGGCCTCTGGGGGATCCCGGCCCATGCTTGGGCAGCTCCTGGCTCTTTCTTTTGATGCCAGGTCATTTGTAACCTCACGGCCACGTTCCTTTACTTCCTAGGGACGGAAACATCTGGTAACCTTTGGCCACGTCCATTCATTCACCAGCCACAGTGCCCTGGCTGCCGGCTCGGCACTGTGGAGGGCAGTGGAACTTCAAAATGAACCAGCCTGCAGCCAGCCTTTGACTCTGCGAGAGGACACAGGTGTATCAGCTGCATCTTTCAGTGGCGTGATGCATGCTGGGACAAGCCTGGCCAAATTAAACCTGAGGAAACGCGACATTTACAGTACACACCAGTGACCCCATGACCTTGGAGGTCCCATGAACCCTTTGCCCTTAGTTTTCCCTCCTAGTTTCCAGTGCTATGAGAAGTGAGCTTGACACCGTGACCTTGGAGTTGAGTTGGGCTGTGTGTGTGTGTGTGTGTGACCAGAACCCTGATTTATGATTTTTTTTTCCTGAGATGGCAGAATGTCTTACAGATATGGACATCACCTTTAAGCCAGCTGGCTAGGATTTGAATCTCAGCCCTGCCATTTATGAGTGTGTGCCTTGGGCATGTCATCACCCTGTTTGTGCCTTTGTCTCCCCATCTGCAGAGGTAGGATGCTAACAGTACCCACCCCACAGAGTCCTTGTGTAGTTTAGATGAGTTGACAGGTGGAAGGTAACAGAAGATTGCCTCAGGGGCTGCATGTGGTTCCTGGAATGACTTGTGTTGCGGAGAGGGAAGAGGAGGAGGAGGAGCGAGGAAGATGTTGCAGTAGGGAGGGGACAGTGTGGGCTTCGGAGGGAGCACCCTGGACAGGGGCAGAGCATTCCCTCCTAAACACATGGTTCTCGAGCACCTACTGTGTGCCACCAAGGGAGCTCTGATAGCGTAGTGCCTAAGGCGTTTGACTGCTAACCAGAAGGCTGATGGTTCAAACCCACCAGCCACTCCTCAGAAGAAAGCAATGTACTTCCGTAGAGATACCACCTCAGAAACTCGAGGAGTCACTATGAGTCGGATTTGACTCGATGGCACTGAGTTATGTGCCACTAAAAGTCTCTCATACTTTGATCATATTATCAGGAGGGTCTGGTTCCTGGAGAAAGACATCATTCTTAGTAGAGGGTCAGCAAAAAGAAGGAAAGACCCTCCATGAAATGGACTGGCACGGTGGCTGCAGCGATGGGCTCAAGCGTAGCAGTGATTGTGAAGGAGGTGCAGGCCTGGGCAGTGTTGTGTTCTGTTGTGCATGGGGTCACTAGGAGTCAGGTCACGGTGTTGACAGGACCTGACAACAACAACATGCTTTCGGGATCGTCTAGGGCTCCAGGCAGGGGCTTAGTGAGGGAAAGTGTGGTCTTAGCATGTGGGAGGGATGTCCAAGGAGCTTGGGAGGCTAGGGCAGGTGTCAGAAGGACATAGCCTCCCCCAGCCTCCCTGTGCCCCAAGGGGTGCCAAGAGCTTGCTGGGCTCACTGAGGCTGCATGGGGCTCTGGGCACTGCACTGCAGAGCTCAGGAAATACTTCCCTGCTCAGCTCGTGTTACTGCCCAGGAGGGGCCCCATCCTGACACCAAGGGGGACACAAAGTGTACTGACAGGTAAGCACGACTTCAGAGGCGGATGGCTTTGCGTTCAAAAGACTGTCCCCCAGGCCGGATTCTTTATGTTTGGAACACCCTCATTTTCCAAAACGAAGAAATCTGTGTTGGCAGGAGTACAGCCAGAACGCTCCTTAGAAGCGAAGATGGCTTGCTGACTTCGTGCATTATCGGGACGGACCTGTCTCTGGAAAAGGACATCACGCCAGGTAAAAAAGAGGGCCAGCGAAACAGAGGCAGACTTTCGATAAGACGGACTGACACAGTGGCTACGAGAATGGGCTCAAACGTAGCAGTGATTGTGAGGATGGGGCATGACCAGGCAACTTTCCATTCTGTTAAGCCCGCGCCGGCTCAGTGACATCAAACCACAATTTTCCAAATAATTCAAGATGCAAAATATCACCAAAGACCCGGTAGAATGCGGCTGATGGGGGTTGGACAGATGGACGCCTGTCTGTCCCTTGTCACCTGGCCCCTCTCCCCCCCACCCCCCTTCTGGGCAGGGACACCAGAGAGGTGCGACCCGGGGCGGGCGGCTTTGTCAGATGGGCCTGGCCCGCGCAGGGGAGGAAGGCTGGGGCCGCGGAGGCACGCGCAGGCCTCCTGCAGGCGTGTCCGCGGTGCGCGCCTGCGGCCAGCAGAGGGCGGCAGAGAACAGGAGTGGCCGGAGCGGCGCGCGGGCGCCCGAGCCCAGCCGAGCCGGACCCCGAGCCCGCGCGCAGACGCCCGGAGACGCGGCTGGGCGCGAGAGGCCGGCGGTCCTTCCTGCGCCCCAAGTGCACCCAGAGCCCGGGAGCCATGGCTAGCGCCTCCGCTGGCCCCGAGGACGCGGGCCAGCCCCGAGGCCGGGCCGGCCGGGCGCGGGCTGAGGAGGAAGACGCCCCTCCTGAGGAGAAGCGGCCGAGGCTGGGGCCCGAGAAGGCGGAAGGCGGGGACGCGCCACGTCTGGGCACCGAGGACACCGGCACCCAGACGGGCGGCGACGGCGCAGGTGTAAGTGGGGGCGCGGGCAGGGCTGGGCTGCGGGCGGGGCGCAGGCACGCCGCCGCGTGGGTCAGGTGGAAGTTGGCAATGGGCTTCCAACTCCTGCCGGCGCGAGGTGACAGGCGAGCGGACCTCCGGAGCAGCGCGCGTCGCGTGTCTGTGGCGGAGCCCACTTCCTGCTTCTCCGCGACGTGGCTGCCCGGGGTCCCCCGCCCGCGTGGCTCGGGGGTGGCCGGGTGGGGAGGGTACGGAGCAGCTCGCACTGTGCGCCCCCTCCCGGCCAGGGCGGCCTTCGTAGTCCCTCGGGACTGGGCTGCGGTGTGGAGTGTGTGCCCCTCACCGCCCGGTCAGGTGAGGCGCTGGGGTGGGAGGCACCCGGGCGCCCGGCTCAGCCGTGTGGGCCGGCGCCAGCTCCGCGAGCCTGTTCTGGCTGCCTTTTCTTGTTGGGCCACGAGAGTTGAGAGAAAGCAGGTGGCACCGCTGCCCCTCTCCCTTCACGGAGGGCCAGGAGGCAAAGCTCTGGGCATCCCCTCCAGGGCTGGCCGGCTCTGGGCCCCGCCAGCGAGGGTGCGTGTGAGTGTATGCCGCACGCACGCTCGCGGGTGTGAGTCACTGCGCGTGTGGCGGTGGGAGGGCGGGCTGCGCAATACGTGCGTGTGTGTCACTAAGTGCTTGCGTGGCGGTGTGAGGGTGTGCTGCGTGCATGCACACGTGTGTCATTACGTGTGTGTGGCGGTGTGAGGGTGTGCTATGTACATGCACATGTGTCATTACATGTGTGTGGCAGTGTGAGGGTGTACTGCATACATGCACACGTGTCATTTCTGTGTATAGTGGTATGAGGGTGCGCTGTGTGCATGTACATGTGTGTCACTACAGGTGTGTGGTGGTGTGAGGGTGTGCTGTGTGTGGGTACACATGTCATTACATGCGTATGCCAGTGTGAAGGTATGCTGTGTACATGCACACGTGTCATTACATGTATGTGGCAGTGTGAAGGTGTACTGTGTACATGCACACCTGCATGTTGTATGTGTGTGTGTGTGTGGTGGTGTAAGGGTGTGCTGCATACATTCACACGTGTGTCATTACTGTGTGTGGCAATGTGAGTGTGCTGTGCGCATGCACACATGTGTCATTACTTG